TCGGCCGCCCTTTCCGGGGACCCCGCGGCTCCCCTGCGCCTCGTGCCGGCCTGCCTGCCCTCCTCCGTCCGAGACTCACCTCGGAACCACTCCTCGGACTGGATGGTGCTCTTGACGGCGTGTCCCTCGAGCTGGGCGCGGATCTCCTTGAGGGCCGAGGTGACGTCGGAGCGGAGGGTGGCCTCGCGCGCCTCCCAGGCCCCCTGGGCGTCGCTGCTGGAGCCCTGGATCTGGAGGAGCAGCTCGGCCACCTCGTCCTCGTGGCTGCGGCGCAGGAAGAGGCTCTCGTCGCGCAGCGCCTGCAGCTTCTTCTCCAGCTCGCCCTTGGCCAGCTGCGAGTCGTCGGCGAACTTGCCCAGGGCCCGGATGGCCGCCTCCACCTCCTCCCGCTGCCGGGCCTCGTCGTCCAGGCGCTGCTTGAGGTGGGCCAGGTCCTCCTCCAGGTGCTCCTGCTCCAGCTGCAGCTGGCCCTTCTCGGCGCTGAGCTGCACCAGCGCGGAGCGCATGTCGCGGATCTCCCGCTCGTACAGCTCCCCGATGGCCGAGCGGCCGGCCTGCTGCTGCCGGAGGGCGGCCGCCTCAGCTTCCAGCTGCCGGTTCTGCACCTCCAGCGCCCGCACCTTGTCGATGTAGCCGGCGAAGCGGTCGTTGAGCGCCTGCAGCACCTCCTTCTCGTTCCGGCCGCGCAGGTCGCCGGGCGCGCCGTTGAGCGAGGACTCCAGGCTCTCGGTCGAGGAGCCGAGCTGGCTCAGGGCGCCCCCCGCCGAAGAGGCCAGGCGCCGGTAGCTGGAGCCCGCCGCCGAGGCCCCCGCCGCCCCCGCCGCCGAGCCCCGCGACCAGGACGCCTGCGAATGGAAGCCGCTCGAGGCCAGAGACCCGACGCCCGAGCGGGAGGAAGCGTAGCGCCCGCCGGGCTCCTTGCGGAAGGAGAAGCCGCTGCCGGAGAAGAGCGGGTCCGACAGGCCGTAGCTCATCATGGTGCCGCCTGAGGAGAGGGAGAGAAACGAGGAAAAGAGAGCGAGAGAGGGAGCGGAAGGGAGAGGGCACTGCGGCAGGCGGCGGCCGAGGCGGCTCTTATATAGGGGGCCCTGCCGGCAAACGTCCCGGGGCCGCCCCTTCTGCCAGCAA